GCTTACGCCGTCGATGACCGAGACAAAGTGGACTCTCTCGCAGCAACTCAAGTGGAAGTTGGCCAAGTGGCTCCGAGACTTGACCAAAAACGGCGTTGAGCTCGACCCGATGCCGTCCATGGCGCCGACGCTGTGCTTTGGCATCTTGGGCGATGTTATGGCGACCCAGACGCAGATGGAGACGTTTGCGACCGCCATCGCGACCGAGTCGCACGATGCGATTCGCGTGCAGGTGGTCGGCGGTTCGATGCCGATTCCTCAACCCGCACGTCGCGCGACCCCTGTTTCGAGCGAGGCGGCACCGGACCTCGGTCACGGGACGCTGCCCAAGTTTCCGCGGACGCGCCACTTGCTGCCGAGTGGCGGTGTCACGCGCGACGACTTGGTGCTGGACCCGCTGGACGCTGGACGGTTTGTCCAGACGCGCGTGACGATCCAAGAAAAGGTCGATGGCGCCAACCTCGGTCTCTTCCTCAACGACGACTTTGCGATCGTGGCGCAGAACCGGTCGCACTTTTGCAACTCGAGCACGGCGCCGCAGTTCAAAGGCCTCGACATTTGGATCCAAGTGCACCAGTTTGAGCTCATCGAATTGCTCTCGCCGCCCGGACGCTACGTGCTCTACGGCGAGTGGCTCTTTGCGCAGCACTCGATCGGCTACAGTCGACTGCCGAGCTACTTTCTCGCGTTTGACATCTTGGACCGGGCGGACAATACGTTTTGGAGCGTCGAACGAGTCACAGAACGACTGGAAGAGACGTCGATCCACATGGTACCGACGCTGTCGACGACGACTGTGGCCGACTTGGACGGCTACCAGCGCCTGCTCGAGACGCCCTCGGCCTTCTACGACGGCCCCGTCGAAGGGATTGTGATCCGACGCGAAGAAGACGGCGTCTTGGTGGACCGCGCCAAGCTCGTGCGCGACGACTTTATCCAAGAGATTGGCGACCACTGGGCCAAGAAGGGTGTGGTGAAGAACCAACTGCACTTTTAATCGAACGAGTATCTAGTAGACGCTTTGGCTAATCCACGTACAATTACTCGAGCAGTTGACTGCTTCTTGTTTGGCGCCTTGCTGGAAGTTCAGCATGACTTCGAATGTCAGGAAGCACAGTGACACTCAGTACCACTTCCGAGGTATGCGGCTGGAAACTCAGAGGGATTAGGTGGGATTACGTCCATATCAACGCCCATTGGCATAACTTGTGCAGTGAGCATCTTGGCCAACATCCAAGGTGCATGGAAGAGACTTGTCGCCGACGATCATCACTGATGTGTTCACTGGCACTCCATCGTTTTCGAGCGCACACAGCCAGCATAGTACCAGGATTGCCGACTCATGCGAATGTTGAGGCGTATGTTTGGTGGGTCGTGTCCGCTCCGACGGCTTCGCAATTGGCGCGATAGGACTGCAGCTAGGGGTTGCGATCGCATAAATTAGAATATTTTACTATCAGAGAGCTAGGCTTTTGTGGCCACCTTGTGCCACGAGATGCCAAAGCGAGCGCCGACGTCACAGCCGTCGTTGGTTTGCAGCTCGCGTGTTCGGTTGCGGTAGCGCAGTGCCTTTTGTAGCAGCTGGGCGTTGGTCGTGTCAGCGTCGAGCTGATTGAGCTGTGAGAGCATGCTCTTGAGGACCTTTTCGGTGCGGGCCTTGACGCATTCGTCCGAGTATTTGAGGTGGAGGTGGCGGCGACTGCTGG